CTTCTATCATGGTCCTGAGCTCATCTATTTTTTTGTCAGTTTCTGCTCTAGAGTCCCAAATCACGACTTCCATTTTGCTCACTATCTCTATGGTTATCTGGGAAATTATTTCTGTTTTGAATTTTTCTAGAGCCTGATTGATCTGTTTTGTTACTTCCTGTGCTTTGAGTTCAGGGTGTCCTGGTGGTTCACTATTGGCCTTTTCATCCTCATTTGCCCTACTGTTTGCCATTGGTAAACTGGAAGTCTGTCCTTGTGTCTTGCTTAAGTGTTTTCTCATTTTTATTTTTGTTGTCGGACTGTCCTTGGTTTAATCTCTGGATTATCACCCAAATCTTCCTGATATAGTTGTGCCCTAGCTTCTGTGTCTCTAACGACCCACAGACATTCTCATCTTCATAACATCAGAGAAAACAGCTCATCAAATCAACTGCAATGCTTTACCCCAACTGATACAATCAGCAACACATTAAAATCAAGCACAACTTTGACACTGACCACTGGTGGTAGTCAGTAGTCTATCACCCTTAAATCATTTGAATTAAATTGAAGTAAAGAAGCAGTCCAGAACATGTCTGCAGTGAACAAAATTTCAACATAGTGTATTTACCATTTAATGGCTCAGACAGAGTGAGGATGCAAGACCCCTGATCTCAGCTGATGGCTGAACCCCATGACGATGACTGACCTTGGCTGCAAGGCCCAGATTGAGTTCCCCAACCTTCTGAATGGTTGAACTCCTCAACATTCTATTACTGGTTTCCCACGCCCTTTCTTTAAAGATGTTCAAAGTTGGGAACTCAGAAAAATACCCTTGATGACCACCTCTGTCTTTGCAGAGTGGGTCCAAAGACTGGCACAGTCAGGAGGTCTGAGAGTGCAGGGGAGGCTTATGGGGGTTCAGGGGCCCCCACGCAGCTACCTTCCCGGTGCTTGAGCGATGGCGGCTGGGTCGGGAGCTGGTGTGGTTCCCCTTCCCACGGTGGATCGGGGCCCAGGCTACCTCCCGGCGCTTGAGCGATGGTGGCTGGGTCAACAAACATTTTTTTTTAGAACACAGGAGAACGTGGGGAAGTGATGACAATGTTCTCCATCTTAACTGTTACAGTGGTCACCCAACTGCATGACTTTGTTAAAATTCCTTGCACCAGAGTGGGGAGGGAAAGTATGAGGGTGCATGAAACTAACAACGTTGAGTTTTGTTATATGTGAATTAGGTCTCCGTAAAGAGAATTAAACTTGAGTGCCAGGCGTGATGGCGCACGTCTGTAATTCCAGCACTCAGGAGGCTGAGGCAGGAGGATTGCTGTGAGTTTGAGGCCAGCTGGGGCTACATAGTGAGTTCCAGGTCAGTCTCAACTACATAGTGAGACCCGTCTCAAAAAACAAAGCATGTGTGTGTGTGTGTGTGTGTGTGTGTGTGTGTGTGTGTGTGTGAGAGAGAGAGAGAGAGAGAGAGAGGTGGAGGGAAGGAGAGGGAGGGATACCAGAGGTCAAGCTCAGGAGTTCCACCACTGAGCTACATCCCTGCCTTTTGAATTTTTGAGACAGTGTCTCAGTAAGTCTCTGAATAGCTCAGGCTGTTGAACTTGTGATCCTCTTGCCTCAGCCTCTGGAGTAGTTGGGATGTGGGCCTGGCCAGTCACACCTGGCTAGATTAAAATGTAAAGATAAATGAAATAAAAATATGAATGCTGAGGCTGATGCAGTCCATAATACCTCCGGTTTGTCCCTTGGGTTGGGCCTGCTCACCTGCTGCTGGGGGGCATCACTGCACATTCCAGCCGCCTCCTCCTCCCCCTCAGAAAGGGAATTCGGAAGGCAGATGAGGTCCCGCTATTATAGAATCCGAATCATTTCTGGGAAAAAGGAATGGAGCCCAGCTGGAGCCCAGCAGTAAGGGATTGGCAGCCGCTCCCTTTAGCCAGGAGCAGGGTAGGGTCGGGGCTGCCCGGTGCGTTCCCGCTCATGTGTGTTTCACCTGTGTCCAGCTGTGCAGATGCAGTGGGTTTGCGCTCCCAGAGTGGCCCTTGTGGAACTTTTCATGTGCAGCAGGAGGACACTGGCGGGGCCAGGCCAGCACCCACAGCACCAAGTCCAGGCCTCTTCCTGAAGGTCACGGTCGGCTCAAAGCAGATGTTGGGCACTGCAAGGTCTGGGCAGTGCTTGCAGAACTCACGGCTGTACCTTGGGCAGTTGAGGACGGCACAGGCTCGAGAGAAGAGGTCCACCTGCTCAGGCAACTGCTGCCTATGCCTGCCTTGGTCTTGGCTTGGATCTGTGGGAGAAGGGTGCCCAGAGGTCCCTAAACCCGAGTCATGACAGTACCAAGCCTGGTTTCCATGTTAGGGTTAAACAGCATAGTGGTGCACCTGTCATCCCGGCACTTGGGAGGCTGAGACAGGGGGATCACCATGAGTTCAAGGCCAGCTGGGGCTACACAGCCAGACCCTGTCTCCAAGGAAACAAAAACTGCTCCCCTTAGCATGGGACATGTGGGTTGTTTTGCGGATGCAACACAGCTGGGCTTCCACGCGGTGATCGAGGGTCCACGGTAGAACACTCAGAACATACCCAGGCCAGTGAAGTTGGTCCCTACATTGTCCCAGAGCATCTTGTCTGGGGGTTAAAGATATTGCAGGGCTCCCCAGAAGGCTGGACATTTTGGTTCTGCACTTCCTGCTGACAGACAGGCTGCTGGATAAACAAGCCCAGTGCACAGTTATGTTTTCACGGCTGTGCAGTGCACAGTCTGTGGACCTCAGGGTGCCCTGGGCTTGACAGCTTGGTTGTGCAGGGCGCTGCTGTTGGGGCACAGCCTAGGCAGAGGTTTTTAGGTCATTGGAGGGTCTGACTTTGGAAGGTAGCTCTTGTGGGATTCCTTGGTAGGTCTTTTGCAGGACTAGGGGTGGAATATTGGGTGATCTATCACCAAACTACATCTCAGCCCTGTGCATTTTTTATTTTAAGACAGGGTCTCACTATGTTGCCCAGGTTGACCTTAAACTTGTGATCCTCCTGCCTCAGCCTCCTGCATAGCTGAGGTGACAGGTGTGCACCCCCACGCTTGGCTGCAAAGGGCACAGAGGAAGCAGGCCAGCCAGGCATAGCGGCTCACACCTGTCATCCCAGTACTCTGGGAGGCTAAGGCAGGAGGATCGCTGAGAGTTTGAGGCTGGCCTGAATGAGTTCAAGGACAGCCTGAAGTACACAGGCAGATCCTGTTTTTTAAAAAGGAATATTTTGCAAAAGGGTACCAGGCAACATCATGAGTCACTAGGAAAATGTAAAGCAAAACCACAATGGGGTTCCACTTCCCACCCACTAGGCTGACTACAGTCACTTAGAAAGGAGGCTACAGGGGTATGGAGAAGTTGGAACCCCTTTGCGTGGCTGGTGGGGAGGTAAAATAGTGCAGCCACTGTGGAAAACAGTTCAGCAGTTCCTCAAAAATGTCAACCTAGAATTACGCTATGACCCAGCACTTCTACTCCTGTAGGAACTGGAAGTAGGGACTCAAACAAGCACAGGCACATAGATGGGCAATAGCAGCTCTATCACCATGGCCAGAGGTAGCCACGGCCCGTATGTCCACCCACAGGTGACTGGGTAAACACAATGTGGTCTAGCCGCCCAAGGGAATATTATTCAGCTGCGAAAAAGGGAATCCAATTCTAGTCCATGCGACAAGAAGGATGAACTTCAAAGGCATCATGCTCAGTTAAAAAAGCCATACACATAGAGTCATGGTTAGTTTGTCCTGACTGTAACAAAATACCAGAGATAACTGATTAGGAGAAGGGTGGTTTGGGCTCTGGGGCTGCGGTCCACGGTCTGTGTTGCTGCTTGGTGGGAGGATGTGATGGAGGACTTTTTATGTCACGGCAGCCGGGCAGCAGAGAGTGAGACACTAAAAGGGGTGAAGCCCCTACGTCCCCATCAAGGGCACCCCTGATAATCTCCACCCAGACCCTACATCTTAACAGTCCCACTGTGGTAGCTTAGTTTAGCCACACTGAGTTGGCAGTTAGAAAAGCCTAAGGAGAGTTAAACAGCTGGTTAATCTTAGAAATGTGAAGGCAAAATCAGCCCAGCCAGGCTAAGGACTGAATGCAAGCAGTGGAGCCAAGCTTAGAGAGGCTAAGGATAAAAGGCTGGGTTGGGACTAGAGGTAGGAAGAAGTTTCCTAGGCAGAATGTACCGAGCTAGACTTTAACAGAACAGCTTCTCCCTCCCTCCCTCCTTCGGGACGTGCGGGGAACCAACATGCAAGCCAATCCGCTTCCTTTTTACACTGTTTTGCACCCACTCCCTTTAGCGCAAACCCCCTCGCTCTACCTGTCTCTGTAAGGCAAGACCAAGAAGCAAGCTGGACCTCCGAGATGGAGCACCTAGCCCACAAGAGTCATCCACTCGTACGAAATAACCGAGAGCGGTCAGGGAAATACACACAGAGAAAGCAGATTAGGGTGGGAGTGGGAGAGGAGAAGATGCCTGCTTCCTGGGCACAGAGCAGAGGAAAGAAAATGAATTTTCCTTCTACCCTTAGTTCTTAGCTCAGAGAGATCCTTGTAACCAAAGAATTGTGAGAAAAAACATTCATGAACGGATGTACCTGGCATATACTTGGGTGACGTCCAGAGAAATGAGTAAAGGGATCAAACTCCAGCCTAGATAGCACCTTCCACCCAGAACAGAACGTTTTTAGTGCAGTGACAAAACAGGAGGACTTTGGGTCCCCAGGGTGGCAAGTTAAGGGGAGGCAAACAAATGCTGGACAAAGTGCTGGGTGTGGTGGCCCACATCCATAATCGCAGCTCTTGGGAGGCTGAGGCAGGAGGATCGCTGTGAGTTCGAGGCCAGCCAGGTTACCTAGTGAGACCCTTTCTCAAAGAACCACACCAAACCAAAGAAAAAAGAAAGAATTGCAAAGGTATCTACAACGATCAAATGTCTTTCCCAGTTGAGAGGGAAGGAGATGCCTTTGTCAACTTGTGTCCTCCTCCTGGGCAAATAGGGGGAGGTCAGAGAGGTTTTTCTATGAGCTCCACCTTCCGTTCAAAATAATCATATGCCAAGGTGACATATTTTGTGTTGGAACGCTCTGGTCTCCTACGAGGTCTTCTTCGGGGTGACAAAATGCTTTGAACCTAGTAAGGGGCAATGATTGCCCAACATGTGAATGTACTAAATGCCTTGAGCCTACATTTTCAAGTGGTGGTTTCAGCCAGGAGTGCTGGCAAACTACTGTGATCCCAGCACTCTGGGAGGCTGAGGCAGGAGGGTCACAGGTTTGAACCCAGCCTGGGCAACATGGCGAGACTTTCAAAATAAAATATGAAAAAGGGCTAGGGATGTAGCTCAGTGCAAAGGCCCTGGGTAAAATCTCCAGTACTGAGAAAAAAAGAGATGAATTTCATGTTCTATGATGTATCTCAGTTGTATAAAGAAGAGGGAATGGGGTGTTCACTTTTGGAAAACTTTGATATCTTTGATGAGATGATCCACGTGTATTGCACAAAATTCAAACGTTACAAAATGTCATAAAGGTGAAAAGTTAACCAGTCACCCTACTAACCCTCCCTGGAGCAATTCTGGTCACCGGATTCTTCTCTATTCTTGTCGAATGATCTAAGCATGTTCACAACATCTAAAGATGACTTATCACCCAATGATATCATGACGATCATACATACTACAAACAATGCTGGAAGGGTAGAGGAGAAAATTTAGAGAAAGAAAGCCGTCTTTGAGCCTTTGTGAGGATCCCTTGGGACACACGCACACAAATACATAACACACCTGTAATGTATACACATTCACATAGTTGTGTACATATATATATGTACAAGTATATATGTATACACACATACACATATATTACATACATCACACACTTATAAAAGGCACGCATGATAGCACACGCTTGTAATCCAGCACTCTGGGAGGCTGAGGCAGGAGGATTACAGGTTCGAGCCCAGCCTAGGCAACTTGGTGGTTTAGCGAGACCCTGTCTTAAAATTAACACTAAACACAAGACAGGGGACGTGGCCTAGTGTTCAGGGCCTCCGTTCAATCCCCAGTACCACCACAAAGAAGTATATAAATAAACACACAACCCCACGTATATTCACAGGCATACACACATACCAATTGCTATAGACACAGATGCACACAAACACGGTGCGTAACGGACTGTGAGCCTGGCCCCCAGCTCCAGGCGCGGATATCTAGCGTGGATACTTGGTTAACTCTGACCTACTTTCGTGTTGCTTAATCCGCCCCGGTACAGGGTAGCCGCCCACCCACGTGGGCGCCTCAAATTTGCAAACTCGCCGGTCCCGGCACGAACAAAGACAGGCATCTGGAGCAAAGGGCGGCCGGGGCGCCTGCGCAGAGCGCG